TTTTTTGTCTATTTCTGTATTAATTTTGGAATCACTAATACCTTTCTTTTGCATTTTACATTATTACTTCCCACTTCACGTTGCTTAGATAATTTAGAGACATCATCTCAAACATATTTTTGTATAAATTTACATGTTCTTTGCTTCCAAGTTGTGGCTCTTACTGGTGTCAAACTTTCCTATGAAATTGTTTTGAATGAATGATCCTAGCACTTTTCTCTTGTTGAGTTGGAGCTTTGAAAATGAGACATATCCTCTGCTCAGAACATATCAACAAAAGAAATCTCAATTAAATGACCCACATTGGATAGCAGAAGGGAAATCTAGCCAAATGCATGCATTATCCTCAACATACTAATATAAATAATATGAGAGAGCCACATAATAAGTAACCATCAAAAGTTCCAAATTTCCCAATAACGCAATTCACATACCAAGATTGACAAGCATGCTGAAGAAATAATTTATTGTAAAAATATTTAAGTGAGAAAACTTAGAAATAAATTAATGAAGATGATAGAAATTTTGAAAGAACATTATAGTAATGAGATAAAAGTTTCTTGGAAAAAAATTTTTGGAAATGATAAGTTCATTAAATCAAAGAAAAATCTGTGTAGACAGTACCACCAATGTACTACATCAGGAAGAAAAAAAGAATGTTAAGGCTTGAAGACATGGTACATTAGTAAACTTTCAGATAATAATAAAAATAAGAAACTTGGCAATGTCAAAAGATCAACTTGAAATTACAAAATGTCAGAGTAGGGAAGTCTACTTTCTAGGCTACTCTGTGGCAATAAAACCAAAGCAGCTGATATACAGCTTCTCAGTGTGGTGGTTTAAAAGGGATTTCACTGGGATTTAATATCAGGCAACAGAGAAGCTTGGAGAATTGGAAGTTTGGATACAGGAAAAAAAAGAAGAAAGCTCACCACTGTTGATAGTAGCTTCTGATCACCTGAGCAGACCCACCACTTGTTTTGGTATAGAGAAATCAGAGATCAAAACATTGCCTGAACTTACTTAAACTAGAAGATTGCAAACCCTGCAGGATTTTTTACAATTACAATTGAGTGTGAAATAAGTGAGTGCTCTATCCTGACTGGACATGCAGTGCTCAGGCAGGAATCCTTTAGGGGCCAGCATGCATGCCATGACATCTGCAGAATTCCAGAGATCAGAAACACACACAAACACAGCCACAGTATTTGCAGGTGCCTAGGCAAAGTCTGACCTATGTGAGTGAAATGGGCATGGAGTGACTGTGCCTGGAGTTGGAAGGGTGAAGGGAAGCCTTGCTGTCCAGTGGCTCACATGAACATCTGA